AACACTAGAAGTCACTTACTAGGGGCGAGTACCTTGGTGTGTGTTGTGTCCCAATCGACGAGCATACCGAGGGCATCTGTGATGAAGTTTGCTGGGGTGACGCTTCCAAATATAATCAGTCCCGCGTATGCAGTCCGTTCGAAATTTTAGACAACTTACGTGCCGCGGAACGCAACAATAATCTCCTTTCGCGTGTCGTCTCGCGCAACATATCCGTGAGAGTCGGTTATCAGGTCGAACATCTGTATGAGTGAGACCCTGCTCCGAGTCCTTGACACACGGGAAATGCGCACCTTGCCGCAGAGCTTCTGCCCGTTCGGACGAACGGGTATCAAGGGGGGTCCAGGAAGGATGATAGCGTAGGCCGTCGACGCATACTTGAAGTAGTGCACCAGATCGTCGTACACCGCTGCGAGCGCAAAGAGGGGCACATCAGCCGCGGCATCCACAAATAAATCGTTACGCACCCTGTGTAACGGAAGGCTTGTCGGCCACGCCGAGCAATGCAGCACCCGTGGTCCCCGCGACCTGCGCGAGCGGGCTCTGGTTGATTATCTGGTCGAGGCTGGGGAGACCGGGAAGTTTGAAGTTCAGCATGCCAGTCGAGCGTATGTGAGACGAGGCGTGGTCACTGCAAAGAAAATTAGCACAGTTAAATAGGATGATCTGGGCTCTAGCCGTGGGCGCCCGATAGATTAACCAGTTGATAGGTGGAATGAAAAATCAAATGGCAGTCGAGTGGACGTCCGGCAGGTGATGGAGTGTGCCGCGCTCCGTAGAAAGTGCCGAGTTGAGTTCAGTCATGACCATTGAAAAGAACAAAGCCTCGGCATATCCCTTCAGACAGAATGAATAAAGGATAATAATCAGCAGACTTGCCGAGCGGTACCGACAACGCCCAGCGCCATTCCACCTTTCGGTCGGTGCCTTGGAATGCCCGGCTACTAAAATGCAGCCTGTCAAGGTGGTTCAACGATAGAAGGAGTACTTGGCAGCAGGTATTGTGGCATGAAGTATTTTCGTGGTGTATGAGCGCGAGAAAAACGGATTAGGAAATTTATCCTTGGAACTTTGCGCGCGGTGTCCGATGGAGAGGGATCGGAACCAGAGATTCCAGAAGCGTACCGTGAGGCCCGAAATGAGCGGATCATCACAAATTCAACAGAAGCCCATTCGCAAACTGAGTTTCAGCCATCCAACTTTGCAGCTATAGAACGCCACCTGCCGAAACTTGGTGTTAAGCGGAGCCGAAGGTGATGATGCGCACCAGCTCGCGCTGGGCGCGTATATAAATATAGTGCCTTTCTACCGAGCGCCTTTCCCACGGTTCATCGACTCGGATGGCGCCTCCGCAACTCGACAACGCCTTTCCGCACGCTATTCCACACCGCATGGTCTCCGTTTCCGTATCAATAGCCCCTTTCGCCACTCTCCGCCATCAGTCCTCCGATCAATCCTCCGTTTCGCGCCCTCCGTTTCGCGGCGCGCTTTCTATTTATATCCTTTCGGCGGCGCCTTTCTACTTGGCGCCTTTTCGATTTATCTCCATTTCACGATAGCACTGCCTCCCTCTTTTACTATAAAAACCCTACCTACTTTCCTGTACTCCCCAGTTTGTTGCCCACCAGCAATACATCTCACCTTTCGTATTTCGTACTTCGCCCTTCGGTCCCTCGTCGCCATCGATGCCCACCGCTTACGTCATGTCCTTCGTCGCCATCGTTCTGTCCTTCGTCGTCCACGTCCACGCCACCGTATCCGCCACAGCTCCTATCCCGTTCCCTTGCGCGGCTTACCAGCCGGGTACTGAACATGGAGTGACCCACTCGCACCCTCGTTTCATGGCCGTTGGAGTGTTGAGTTTGATGTTTGTTGTGTCAGCTCACGCTCTCAGACGCGCCGTGAGCGCATCATATTGGAGCCCACCGCGAGGGGTCTCAATTTCCATCGATTCAGGCTCGGCCTCTGCTGCTCAAAATTCCGCCACACCCAATGGCTCCACCGAGCCCCTTATTTTTCCGCCACCGATTCCACAGTCCAGCTCGCCGCCACCGTATTTGAATATATCGCCGCCGTTTCCAGAAGCTTGGATTATCCAGCTTGCGAAATACAGTCTTTCGCCACCGTCTACGCCGCATCCGTTGATGCCAGCGCGTCACGATCACATCGCTCCTATCTTCGATTCACAGAACCCACGCTACCTTCGAAAATATTTCTCCGACCTCGCCTTCTTATTCTCTCGTTCGAGCATTACCGATAGCTGCGAGAAGAAATTCCACGCCACTCGTTTCCTTGGTCTCGAGGACCAGGATCTTTGGGAGTCCGTTCCCGAATTTACCGACGCCGCAGCATCTTTCGAACAATTTACCGCCACCATTTTTCGACTTTATCCCGAGGCCGACCCCGAGCGCAGACATAATGTCACCAAGCTAAAAAGACTCGCCGCGGAGTTTTCCATTACACAGTCGCCATCGAGGACTCAATTTGCAGAGTTCTATCGCAGATTCTATTCCATTGCAGCATTCCTTCGCGCAAAGCAGCACCTCACGGAGTATGAGCAGAGCCGCATATTGTGCGGCGCTATTCCCACGAATCTACGCGATGCCACGCATACTCGACTACAGATAAAATTCCCCGACGTATACGCCGACGATGCATATCCACTAGAAGGAATCCGCGAGGCCGTGGATTTTATCCTCCTTCAGCCCCCATTGTACACACCGCCGAAATTGCACTCGCCCTCCGCCGAATATTCATCCGCACCTGCTGAATCTAGCAATAATGTGCCCCACGATACCATCGAGCGGCCAACCGCGTCCACACAATATCAGCCTCTGTCCTCGAGCCAGTCCCGCACAACGCAGAGGAGTTCTTGTGTATATTGCACGAACACAACACATTTTATTCGACATTGCCCCGTTGTGGCCACCGATATCCATGCAGGCATTTGCAAGCGAAATGCTGAGGGCAAAGTTGTCCTTCCGAGCGGCCTTTTTGTCCCGCACCATGTCATAGGTTCCAACCTTCGCGCCCGAATCAAGCTCTGGCATACCAGAAATATATCCTGTCCCGTAGAGGCCCACGAATGCTTGCCACGTTCACCGCATCGATCCAGCAGCTTGATTCCGCCGCACACGCAGATCCCAGATCCTAGCCGGAGACAGTTCTCGGCACCATCAGTTGCAGTATTTTCCCCCTCCGAACCGCACAACACATCATTGACATCGCCCAACCTGCCTGAAGAGCTACAATTTACGTTTCCCGCCGCACGCGCTCAGGCCAAGGAGGAAAACCATTCCGCGGGATCTCACTGAGATTTCAGTTGGGAGGACCTCTCTTGTTGTTAACTGTTTTTTCCCTTCACTTTTACAGATCACAGTATTCATGCAGTCAAGTTTGACTGAGGACAGTCAATTTTTCAGTTGGGAGGAGATGATGCGCACCAGCTCGCGCTGGGCGCGTATATAAATATAGTGCCTTTCTACCGAGCGCCTTTCCCACGGTTCATCGACTCGGATGGCGCCTCCGCAACTCGACAACGCCTTTCCGCACGCTATTCCACACCGCATGGTCTCCGTTTCCGTATCAATAGCCCCTTTCGCCACTCTCCGCCATCAGTCCTCCGATCAATCCTCCGTTTCGCGCCCTCCGTTTCGCGGCGCGCTTTCTATTTATATCCTTTCGGCGGCGCCTTTCTACTTGGCGCCTTTTCGATTTATCTCCATTTCACGATAGCACTGCCTCCCTCTTTTACTATAAAAACCCTACCTACTTTCCTGTACTCCCCAGTTTGTTGCCCACCAGCAATACATCTCACCTTTCGTATTTCGTACTTCGCCCTTCGGTCCCTCGTCGCCATCGATGCCCACCGCTTACGTCATGTCCTTCGTCGCCATCGTTCTGTCCTTCGTCGTCCACGTCCACGCCACCGTATCCGCCACAGCTCCTATCCCGTTCCCTTGCGCGGCTTACCAGCCGGGTACTGAACATGGAGTGACCCACTCGCACCCTCGTTTCATGGCCGTTGGAGTGTTGAGTTTGATGTTTGTTGTGTCAGCTCACGCTCTCAGACGCGCCGTGAGCGCATCAACGTCTCCGGAGGGAATCGAACCACCTGCCGTTACTACTTGGACGGACGCCAACGGTCTCGATCTCGGGCAAACGAGAAGAGCGCCGCTGGACCTCAAGACTTGTTGTGATAGGCTTTCGCGCAGTTCTTATAGAGAGCTTTCGGCATTTTGGATCTCGGACTTCGTTTAGTCCCCAGCGCAATCCTTCTTGCCGTACTTAGTCTGCATCGACTGAGTCGACTCCAGTCTACTGTCTCCCGGAATGCAAAAAAAAGAAGAAAACTTGCTGGTCTTCCACGCCCAAAACAAATGAGAAATTCAAATCAACCTCTACACGTCTTCGGAGGGAATCGAACCCTCGCCTTTCCACATTACTCAGTATACTCCATATAAGTAAAACAGGATGATCGCCGTTGATCCTCGAAGACTTCTTCCCAGACACTGTAGCCGGCGGTTTCTCAGCGATATTGAGCAGCACCTATTCAAGAATCAAGATTCAAAATATTGACCCAACAATCTTCCCGAAAATTCGAGCCCACCGCGCGGCGCGCTTTCTTGGCGTAGTCTGATTCAATCCCAGTCTCCCGCGGCAAAAAAAATGCTATCCTTCCTGGTTCTTCCACGCACATCGGGCAAAAAAAATTGAGCTATCCATACTCTATACGTCTTCGGGGGGAATTGAACCCTCACCTCCGGGCGTTAGACGACGCAAGTGAAACCGGACGATCGCCGTTGATCTTCGAAGACTTGTTCTATATCCTTTCGCCCAGTCCCCTATGGAGAGCTTTCAGTATTCTGGAACTCGGAATTCCTGGATCTTGCTTTACTCCACCGCAATTCTTGCTTGGCGTAGTCCGATTCAACCCCGAACACAAAATCCTTGCTGGTCTTCCACGCACAGCGGACGAAAAAATCAATCTGCTGCGCGTACGTCTTCGGAAGGAATCGAACCCTCACCTTCCCGCGATAAACTATGAGAGCACGAAAGCGAACGGGACGATCACCATTGATCCTCGAAGACTTGTTCTCGTACACTTTTTCGGCAGCATTCGAGATTCAGAATTCAAGCTGAACGAATATCCACACACGAAGCTGTCTCAATTGATGGAAATTGAAGCCAACGGGGCAGCGGCGCTCCTGGCCCCTACGGTTCTCGGATGGCTTTTTCTTGCTGGTAAAATCTCCCTTCGATACCGACCTCCCGAGCAAAAATACGCTGGCATGGGTACACATCCTCAGAGGGAATCGAACCCTCACCTTCCCGCGTCAAACTCTGAAGCGAACGGGACGATCCCCTTGGTCCCCGAGGACTGGTTCTCATACTTCTTTGACTAGTCCTCCGAGAGATATCTTGGCAACACCCCAACAAGACCGAAAAATTTACTATATCGCGCTGGGAAGCTGGCCACACTAGGAAGCTGGCCATATGTGAAATACAAGGGCCTAGACTTGATAATACTTTTCCCTTGTGCTTCTGTGGTGGAATGTGACCCATTCCGCACCTTGAGACCGATTTTCAACCAAAAGTGATGAGTTGATGAAAAGCTGTGCCCGGGTTGATCCCCGTCGGAGGGTGAGAAAATCAGTTTGGTTAACTCCGCGGGACTATTTCGTCTCTTTCTCGTCCAATTCTACACCAATTCCCGAGGTTAAGCACTCTAAATTCTCTCCCACCGTCGGGCTCTGACATAAATGGGCGATACACGCCTTAAATGGGTGCAAACACCTACCAGTCTGCTAATATGATTGCTTGTCAGACTTACCGATCTTCATCTTCAACCCAAGATACCGACACGCTCATCCAGAAGACACTCTTCGAGTTTTGTCCAGGGCATTAGATTAGGTCAAACTTCAATATAGCAGACTACACACTCTGCCAACCTATCATTGCCATGCTTCGTGGGGGACAAGGTATGAAAGAACACTTTTCACCCTGGAAAAAAGATCAAACGCCGGGTTCTCCGCAGACATCTTCAGAGGTGAGTTCATGTGATCAAGTATGTTCATTAACTTCCAATGAACCTCCACACAGCTTATTTTGGCCAACCATGCCTTATCACTAGTGCCCCAGCGTCATTTAGATCTGGGGAGGCCTTCAAAGCTTCAATTGGGTCATAAACTATGCTGTTAACACAGGTTTACACCCTTCAGTGCACAATAAATGTGACCAGAATACATTATATGAACTCCTTATGCTTCATAGTCAACGTCGCGGGCGCGTAATGGCCCGCAACAACGGCGCATTCACGGTGGCCAGCTTCCCCATCATTTGCCCTTTTGGGGAATTCCGAACCATTATATTTGTATCGTGCTCAAATCGGGGTGGAAAATTCTAAGAATATGCTCAATATCTTCCCAAGATGCACGCCTATCGCATGGGGCGAGACGGAACCCAGAAAAAGGTTGTATTAAGGCGAGAACAGGTCGAAAACCCTTAGGTGGCCAGGTTCCCGGCGCGATATAGTAAGACTCAAGCTGAACGCAATATTCACGCGCAACGCTTTGATCGAAAACGCAAGCCCACATTGGCAGTAACGCTCTTGGGCCTTAGGGTTCTTATGTATCTTTCTCTAGCTGGTAGGACCCCTTCGTTACCGACCTGCCGAGCAAAAATGTGGGGAAATGGATTCACGTTTTCGGAGAGACTCGAACGCTCACATTCCCGCATTACAATCGTTATCTCCGACCAAGTGAAACAGGATGATTCATGATCGCCTTGACCTTCGAGGATTTGTTGGTGTATCTCTTCGACCGTGTTATCCTAGAGGTATTTCGGTTGCACAGCGCCGATTCACGATTCAAAATATTGACGCAAGAATTTTCCCGACGATTCAGGTTCCACGCAGGACGGGCGTTTTGTTCACGTAGTCTTATTCAATCCCAGTTCCCAAGAACAATAAATCCCTCTTGGTCTTCCGTCTTCCACGCACAATGGGCAGAAAAGAAACCTTGCTCCAGTCCTACGTCTTCGGAGAGAATCGAACCCTCACCTTCCCCCGACAAACTGCTTTAGTCGTGCGCACCAAAGCGAACGAGATGATCACCGTTGATCTTCAAAGACTTGACCTCATACACTTGTTAGCTTACCGATATTTGAGCAGCACAGCCCATTCAAAACTCAAGATTCAAATTATTGACGCCAGAATCTTCCCGAAAATTCAAGCCCACGGCGCGTCGCGTTTTTTTGGCGTAATCCGCCTCCACTCCAGTTTCCAGGAACAAAAAATACTTGTTGGTTCTTCCACGCACAAGCCGGGCAAAACATGCAAACGGAGTCCAAACACGTTTCCGGAGGGAATCGAACCCTCGCCTGCCCGCATTACATTCACCATCGTTTGAGTGAACGGGTCGATCACCTTGATCCTCGAAGACTAGTTCTCATACACTTTGGCTGGCATCTTCTTAGCGATGTTTTCGGCAGCACCCGTGCAAGATTCAAAAGATTAACGCAAGAATTTTCCTGACGATTCAAGCCCACCGCGCGTCGCGTTTTCTTGCCTCAACTCAGTCTCCCGCGGCAAAATTATCTACGTGCTGGTTCTTCCACGCGCAATGGGCAAAAAACTCTCAATCCGCCCATATACGTCTCCGTAGGGAATCGAACCCCTACCTTCCTGCAGTACAGTAAAGTCGCTTCTACCCAAGTGAAACAGGATGATCACCATTGATCCTCGAAGATTGCTTACCATACACTTTGGCCAGTGGCGTTTTCTTAGCGAGAGATTTCGGCCATCGCCGCGACCATTCAAGATTCAAAACATTGACGCAAGAACCGGCCCGACAATTCAAGCCCACCGCGCCTCGCGTTTTCACCTGATTCAATCCGAAGTCTCCCGCGGCAACAAAAAGAGTAACGACGAGAACGGTGGGACTCGGCGTTAGTGGGACTCGCCTAAAGCTCGCTTAGCCTCGCTTAACGTCGGCTAAGGACCTGTCAGTGGGACTTGCTGTCCGATAAACGCGGAGGGTCAAGGGGGCCTAAAGATAAGGAAAAAGGATATCACCTACATATTTTTTTTTCTCAGCACTTTGGCCTACCCCTCCCCCCCTACGTAAAGATTATGCCATCAAACTCCCTTTTAGAGAAAGATATCCGAGACAGCAGACTATCGAGCGGCGATATTTTGGCAGTAGAAAATGGCCGTAGCAGTGATTTGACAGCAAAGTACATAACAACAGTCCATGTGAAGAAGCTACTAAACCATGAACGTTCTCGCCTTGACACTCTGGGTTGAAACTTGGTTCAAAACCGACTGCGGTATCCCAACTTTGCTAATGAGGTGAGTGAGAGACCTGTAATAGCGTAATCATACTGGGGGGCCATGTTTGAGGTCCTGGGCAGTGTCTACACTCCCCAGCGGACCTTGCCGGGGGGAAATAAAATTGCATACAATTTTTTTTCCCGGCGGACCCTCTACCCCATATGATAACTTCTTATCTTTGGGCCCCCTTGCGGAGGGTAGAATTTACGCGTCGCGGTAATCTCGGCTCCAGATCTTACGGTGCTAACTCCCGGCCGAGAAAACCGAGGCAGAGATTTTGATGAAAAAGAGATGGGAGAACGCACCTGTAAGATCTGGTGCAGCTCGTATAGTAACCGTTGCACTGGGGCAATCGGTCACGCTTGTCACGATCCTTGTCGTGTTCAGTGTTCATGCAGGCTCTATCGGGGACCATTGGTATGTGGTAGATAGCTTTTGATAAGACCACAACACACGATGGCCAAAGAAAACCGGAAGTAAACGCGTCGAAAGCAAGCATCTTGAAGAAGTCAACATCATGTGCACTTCTCGAAGCAGTTATATTCCTATTGCTCCGAGCCCAGGAAAAATCAGGAAGTCCTGTATCAGCATTCTGAAGCCATTCAGAGGGATTGGGAAGGATTTTTGGATCCGATTAAGGACGTTAGGGTGTTCAATCCATGAAAAGAGACATTTTGATCAGCAGGCCAACAACAATGATTGGGACAAGAGATACACAGCTGTTTGGATTTCAGTGGAGGAGGAGGACATCTAGTAAAGTTTAGGAGTATTAATCAAGGTTGTTTGGGTCCAGGACGAGGAGATCGAAGGGATTTTTGAAAGTGTGACACAGTACAACATTATCTATACGAGTTGCACCAGACGTTCTAGGGCAGTGTATCGCGATCAAATTTCATCAAAACTTCTGCCTCGACAACATCTCGCCATCCCCGATTGGATTCTGCCCGTGAGCGGAGTGCATGACTGCCCTAGAACGTCGGGAACGAGACTAGTGTCGCGGCCATCACTGAATCTAGTGTTGCCGCGACTTCCGACTTGACCTCCTCAAGTCAACTTACGGAAGTCGACTGGAGCCGAGTTAAGTCAAGTTCTTTGATTGGCTTGCTGTGACCTCCGAGTCAATGCAAGTCAACTTGAGTCAACTTGAGTGACTTGAGTCGGGGGTTTCTTAGAAAATGCTTATTTATTGGGGGAGCTTGCTCCCCCTATTCTGTCAACGATCAGTCAAAAGTGTATGGCTGTGCAAAGTTCTGGTTTCCCACGGGGGGACGATCAATTCCCATATATGGACTTCTGCACTCCCACGGAAGTTAGATCAGTGCCGCATTTCAATCCTTGAATCCTTCAGCTGTGGAGGACGTCGAAGCCGCTGGGATCAATTCCCTCCAGACAATCTTTAGAGATGCCAATGAAAAAACAGGTAGAATTTTGCGGTGCAAAGTGACTGTCTGGTAGAAGTTGGGAAGCGATCACACACGGATGATTCTCGGCACAGCCGGCTTCTCTCTCAGTTGAAGTAGGCAGCTTGTACATTATCACTCGACATAGGCCTCTATAAAATTGTCTGATTGTTGGGCTTTGGTATGAACCCCTCGAACGATCAGATGAACTGTCAAGGTTGATATAACCATCGTGGCTTGGCCCGGACAATATTGAAGCAAATGAGAAACAGGTGAAAGCTGTTGAGTGCAGACGGAAGTTATAACGCTACCCTTAACAACTGAAGATTCTGCAAATACCTCAATTTGAACTATCAGAGGAGATGCCGAGATGCCGAGATGCCCGGCACTCACTGCGTTCCGGGGGGTACATTTAGGTTGGTGTAGGCGCCTACCCCCACCTTCATTGACCTCAGGCACAGACTACAGTGATTTGCCCAACTTAAACATGGCCCCAAGTTCAATGGTAACAGCAAAAATCTCACTGATCTGGTGTCGGTTATATATTTTGGACTTGAAAATTGGGACCATTTGTTGTCGATACTAGTACATACTGGACTGTTGCTGGAGGTGATAATTAGTCTCAGTATAGGTCACTACGTGGACCTGCATTCACCTACATTCACCTTAGCTGACCTTGACTGACCTACATTGACCTACACAGATTGTACGTAGGTGGGTCTCAGTGTAGGTCCATGTAGGCCCCTGAACTCACGCTGAGTCTAGGAGGTCCTGGAACGCAGTGACTCTAGCGGCAACAAGTTGTCCAGTTTTTATGGTGGATAAAGGATGGAACCATCTTGAAAAATAAGGCCTTGAACAATAAAAGGACAACATTGTAGATATTCTACCCGAGTTCGGAACACATATATGCATCGGGGACGAGATCAATTCTATCCGATTTCTGAGAAATTCTCCGCCCCAACGGATTCAATCTTCTGCAGCTGTGAGATGTTAAACTCGGATTTAGCGCAAGCTCCCCTCTTTCTGTAGCCAGGCACTGGCATACAAAACATATTATCCGTAAACGCGATTGCGGCAGTTTCTTTTTTTTTCCTGGCCCGAATGTCACACGTGTGACATATGTCACGCACATGTCACAGCTGAGTTGGCTTGCGATCCCATGCCGTTTTGAAGGCTCAATAAATCTATAAAAATACAGGAAAAGTTCATCACACCATGCTTATGAGTTTTGACCCATTTGACTCACAAAATGCGCTCAGAAATGTGGTGTGATTGCAGATTAAACATTGTTTGCTCATTCCTTGCTCATTCCTGCATAATTTCATCAAGGTACAATATTTCTGTCAATGTGGTGGCAATTCCAGCCAATTGAGAAAAATCCCTCGACTTGACCGACTTGAGTCGACTTGAGTAACTTTGAGTGGCTTGAAGTGGCTCAAGTCGAGTCGAGTTGAGTCGAACTCGGAACCAAGTCATTTTACCGAGTCGCGACTCGACTTTTGGAGTCGCGGCAACACTAACTGAATCAACATGCCGATGTCACTCTGAATAAGCAGTAAAAATGAGTTAAAACCTGTTAAAAATTCGGGAGAGCTCCACGAAGTCCCGCGGCGAGCGGCAGCACCATGCAGTGGGCGTTCGCGGCGAGCGATAGCCCCACGCAGCGGTCGGGGTCTGGGGTGAAAAACCCCAACCCTCTGCGCCCGTAAAGAATGAAAAAAAGCTAAAGAAAACAGCAAAACAATTGCAATTAAATTCTTAACATGCCGTCAGGTCGAAGGAGGGGGGTCTGGGGGGAACCGCGTTCCCCACAGTATACAATATAGCAGGCATGCTTTAAAACACCGCTAGCGGAGCCCGTGTGCCGATATTGATCCTTTGATGCCGACTGATCGAATTGAGATCAAAAGTGGGACTCGCTTAATTGTGCGAGTCCCACTCCCACTGTTCTCGCATATCTCCCCAAAAAAATGCTATTCTTCCTGGTTCTTCCACGCACGAAAAAAGCTGACTCATCGGTCGCACACGTCTTCGGAGGGACTCGAACCCTCACCTTCCCGCATCAAACTCGCATAATATCCCGCATGAAGGTGAACGGGATGATCGCCTTGATCCTCGAGAACGCGTTCTTGTACCTCTTTCGGCCAGTCCTCTACGGATAGCTTTCAGGACAAGAACTCGCCATTCTCGGATTTTGTGTAGTCCAACCTACATGTACCCTCCACCGCAACCTTTCTTTGGCGTAGTGTCAGATTGCCGCGGCAAAAAAGTCATCCCTCCTAGTTCCTCCACGCACAACAGGCGAAAAAAAGCTGTTCCGCCCCGGCACGTCTTCGGAGGGAATCGAACCCTCGCCTTCCCGCGGTAAACTATGAACCACTAAAGCGAACGGGACAATCGCCGTTGATCCTCGAAGACTTCTTCCCATACACTTTGGCCGGTGTTTTCTTAGCGCTGTTTCGGTTGCATAGCGCCCATTCAAGATTCAAGATTCAAGCTGAAGGGAATATTTTTCGTTTTCCCGAAAATCCCCCACAACGCTCTGAATCTGGAATTCTTTCTTTGTCTGGTACTATATGTCACCCAGTACTGGGCCACCTTAGCACCTTTGCCCTCTGGCCAGCCGATACGATGCTTTTTGTACCAATATTTTGACGCTGGAGTAAGTAATAAGATCCCAGGAGTGAGTTGAAATATTTTGGGGAATTCTGGGGTTGATCTTGAGACGCCAGCGAATTTATTTTTGGCAGTACCCCAAAATAGCAATAAACGGGGTAGTGGGCGGCCTGATTCAGGCGTCGAGACGGGTAACATGCACCGGGAGTACTCAGAATGACTCAGGGGGCGTCAATGTAGAATTATAAACACTCAAAATGTGAATTCAAGGTGTACAAGGGTTATAATAACTGTTACCTCCGGCAAGGGAGGAAGTGGGAAATCGGGGTATCGCCGAAAACATGTGCGCTACAAGGCAGGCAGACAAATCTTGGGCAAAGCTAAGTGTTGGAAGTGTAGATGGGAAGGTATGGCACATAACTAAGTATAATAAATGGTGCCTCCATGCCCATAACCCTTCAAACAAAATTCATTTATTTACTGCAATAAAATTGGGTGGTTCCGTGGAAGGACCCTCGGTGAACGTGAAGTCGAGCAGCAGAGGCCCAAGGCAAAGGGGGAGGGCATCTTAATGCATATAATCAACGTACCTAACAAGCTCTAGGCAAACAGCAATGTCGGATGGGTCGCCATAGGGCGGTCTGTCTCGCGCCGGTCAAGAGAAGGCCGGGCTATTCTTCGACAGCCTAGGGAAGATTTCGGGTTGGCCTGGCATGTAGCCTCCACATAGAACATTGCCCTGGGTAGAGGTAATACAACGAGCCCACAAACATGGAAATCGGTGGAGAATTGGTTAAGAAAGAAGAGGGCAAGTGGCGTTCGGAGATAAGGAATGATCGATTCTCACCCTGCCCTCGGAACCAAACGGAGCACAGCGTATGATCAACGCATCACCCGGCCTCCAAATTTAGTCTACATCAAGCTCAGACATCATGCTCCTTCCTCCGAACACCAAACTTCGGAGTTCCGCAAGACAACGACCGCTATTATCCAAGTGGCCCACTACCCCGACTGGCTCAGTGCCCAGTCGCTAATAGTAGAACGCAACCAGGCTCCCTGACTTCCCAAGAAAAGTAAAAACACAACACGATCGCCTGACGTTCCCGGAGAGACTTGAACCCCATCTTTCCGTTAAACGGCACGAAATTTAGCCAAGGTAAACGACACGATGGCCTTGATCTTGGAAGACTTGTTCTTGAACTCTCTTGCCAGTTTCTCCTTCATGACATTTCAGGACTTCACGAAACTCTCACCCGTTTCGTTTCAAGTTCAGTGCGGGACCCGTGGTCCTGATTGAACTCTGGCCAAGCTAAACAGATCAAGATCTTCCTTGTCGTTCTCACTCTCGTAAACCACAATTATACTCCCAGCATCCACAATGTTAAACTCTCTTTCAAAGCACTCGAATGACGCAAAAGCCTGGCCATTTGTCGAAGATTCCACCCCCCAGCGTTGCCGCGCGTTCTCCTACAGCTTGGGCTTTCTTTCCACCTCCTCTCTCTGCTCTAACCAGAACTGACCTCCGGAACTCAAAAACGATCAAAAAGTCGGGCCCGTAGCACCCACGTCTTCGGAGGGAATCGAACCCCCACCTGCCGTTAATTCCAATGATGCCACGATCTCAGGCAAACGAGAGAATAACCGCTAAACCTCAAAGACTGGTTCTTGTAGTCTTTCGGCCAGTTCTTCATGCAGAACTTTCAGCGCTCAGCCTTGGTAATTCTCGGATTTCGTTTAGTCCAAGCTCTCCACCGCGGCCTTTTTCTTTGGCGTAGTCTGCCTGGACTCTAGTCTCCGGCGGTAAAAAAATACTATATACTTCCTAGTTCTTCGACGCACAGCGGGCAAAAACTCTTGCTCCTCCCATACACGTCTCCGGAGGGACTCGAACCCACATCTTCCCGCGTCGAACTCCTTGAATACTGCACCCGCAGATGAACGGAATGATCACCTTGATCCTCGAAGACTTGCTCTTGTACTACTTTGACCGATATTCACACCAGAAGTTGTCTCGCTTTCCCGAAGATTCAAGCCTAAAGCGCAGCGGCGCTCCTAGCCCTTAGGGTTGTCATGTGTCCTTTTCTGGTTAGTAAAGTCTCCTCGAGTCATCAATCTCCCGAGGAAAAATGTGGTGCCATCAAACCACGCTCCGGAGGGACTTGAACCCTCACCTTCCCGTTGGATAGCGAACATTGCAAACGTGAACAAGATGATCACCACTGATCTTCAAAAACTTGTTCTGTAGGCTCTCTCGACTGTGAAAATTCATTGGAAAGCTTCGAGCAGCACCCATTTAGTCCTGTCGAACGCAATGATACAACTCGAAAAGGAGTCCAAGACGACACCGCTCCAGAATTCTTCCGTTTTTTCGTGTGGCCGACCCTTTGTCGTGGAACTTGACGAATCTCCCGAACCTCAAAAGAAGAAAAAACGTCGCGCGGTCCCTCAACGTCTCCGCAGGGGCTCGAACCCACACTGCACAAAGCGTTCAAGTAAACGGCGGGATGGCCCCCAGTGATCTTCGAAGACTTCTTCTGGTGTTCCGTTGGCTCGTGTTTCCTTGAAGGTGATTCAGCAGAACCCAGCAAAACTCTGCACAGGCCGCCGGGCGAGCTAGGACTGCCAAGGAGAACAGGCAAGTGGGTCGACGTCGTAAGAAAAGAGAGCAAAGGCAAAGGCTTGGCGACCTGCCAATCAAGAACAGATTGATCCGAACTTGGCGGTGTTTTTTTGCCTCCTTCCTCCATGCCCCCGCAGACGACGCTCCCGTGCGAGCGAATTTTGCGTTTCATCTCGGGCTTCCCGGCATTCTTCTCCAACGATACCGAATTCAGCCGTCTGCACAACCCCGTTGCTCACTGATGCGCACCAGCTCGCGCTGGGCGCGTATATAAATATAGTGCCTTTCTACCGAGCGCCTTTCCCACGGTTCATCGACTCGGATGGCGCCTCCGCAACTCGACAACGCCTTTCCGCACGCTATTCCACACCGCATGGTCTCCGTTTCCGTATCAATAGCCCCTTTCGCCACTCTCCGCCATCAGTCCTCCGATCAATCCTCCGTTTCGCGCCCTCCGTTTCGCGGCGCGCTTTCTATTTATATCCTTTCGGCGGCGCCTTTCTACTTGGCGCCTTTTCGATTTATCTCCATTTCACGATAGCACTGCCTCCCTCTTTTACTATAAAAACCCTACCTACTTTCCTGTACTCCCCAGTTTGTTGCCCACCAGCAATACATCTCACCTTTCGTATTTCGTACTTCGCCCTTCGGTCCCTCGTCGCCATCGATGCCCACCGCTTACGTCATGTCCTTCGTCGCCATCGTTCTGTCCTTCGTCGTCCACGTCCACGCCACCGTATCCGCCACAGCTCCTATCCCGTTCCCTTGCGCGGCTTACCAGCCGGGTACTGAACATGGAGTGACCCACTCGCACCCTCGTTTCATGGCCGTTGGAGTGTTGAGTTTGATGTTTGTTGTGTCAGCTCACGCTCTCAGACGCGCCGTGAGCGCATCATATTGGAGCCCACCGCGAGGGGTCTCAATTTCCATCGATTCAGGCTCGGCCTCTGCTGCTCAAAATTCCGCCACACCCAATGGCTCCACCGAGCCCCTTATTTTTCCGCCACCGATTCCACAGTCCAGCTCGCCGCCACCGTATTTGAATATATCGCCGCCGTTTCCAGAAGCTTGGATTATCCAGCTTGCGAAATACAGTCTTTCGCCACCGTCTACGCCGCATCCGTTGATGCCAGCGCGTCACGATCACATCGCTCCTATCTTCGATTCACAGAACCCACGCTACCTTCGAAAATATTTCTCCGACCTCGCCTTCTTATTCTCTCGTTCGAGCATTACCGATAGCTGCGAGAAGAAATTCCACGCCACTCGTTTCCTTGGTCTCGAGGACCAGGATCTTTGGGAGTCCGTTCCCGAATTTACCGACGCCGCAGCATCTTTCGAACAATTTACCGCCACCATTTTTCGACTTTATCCCGAGGCCGACCCCGAGCGCAGACATAATGTCACCAAGCTAAAAAGACTCGCCGCGGAGTTTTCCATTACACAGTCGCCATCGAGGACTCAATTTGCAGAGTTCTATCGCAGATTCTATTCCATTGCAGCATTCCTTCGCGCAAAGCAGCACCTCACGGAGTATGAGCAGAGCCGCATATTGTGCGGCGCTATTCCCACGAATCTACGCGATGCCACGCATACTCGACTACAGATAAAATTCCCCGACGTATACGCCGACGATGCATATCCACTAGAAGGAATCCGCGAGGCCGTGGATTTTATCCTCCTTCAGCCCCCATTGTACACACCGCCGAAATTGCACTCGCCCTCCGCCGAATATTCATCCGCACCTGCTGAATCTAGCAATAATGTGCCCCACGATACCATCGAGCGGCCAACCGCGTCCACACAATATCAGCCTCTGTCCTCGAGCCAGTCCCGCACAACGCAGAGGAGTTCTTGTGTATATTGCACGAACACAACACATTTTATTCGACATTGCCCCGTTGTGGCCACCGATATCCATGCAGGCATTTGCAAGCGAAATGCTGAGGGCAAAGTTGTCCTTCCGAGCGGCCTTTTTGTCCCGCACCATGTCATAGGTTCCAACCTTCGCGCCCGAATCAAGCTCTGGCATACCAGAAATATATCCTGTCCCGTAGAGGCCCACGAATGCTTGCCACGTTCACCGCATCGATCCAGCAGCTTGATTCCGCCGCACACGCAGATCCCAGATCCTAGCCGGAGACAGTTCTCGGCACCATCAGTTGCAGTATTTTCCCCCTCCGAACCGCACAACACATCATTGACATCGCCCAACCTGCCTGAAGAGCTACAATTTACGTTTCCCGCCGCACGCGCTCAGGCCAAGGAGGAAAACCATTCCGCGGGATCTCACTGAGATTTCAGTTGGGAGGACCTCTCTTGTTGTTAACTGTTTTTTCCCTTCACTTTTACAGATCACAGTATTCATGCAGTCAAGTTTGACTGAGGACAGTCAATTTTTCAGTTGGGAGGAGATGATGCGCACCAGCTCGCGCTGGGCGCGTATATAAATATAGTGCCTTTCTACCGAGCGCCTTTCCCACGGTTCATCGACTCGGATGGCGCCTCCGCAACTCGACAACGCCTTTCCGCACGCTATTCCACACCGCATGGTCTCCGTTTCCGTATCAATAGCCCCTTTCGCCACTCTCCGCCATCAGTCCTCCGATCAATCCTCCGTTTCGCGCCCTCCGTTTCGCGGCGCGCTTTCTATTTATATCCTTTCGGCGGCGCCTTTCTACTTGGCGCCTTTTCGATTTATCTCCATTTCACGATAGCACTGCCTCCCTCTTTTACTATAAAAACCCTACCTACTTTCCTGTACTCCCCAGTTTGTTGCCCACCAGCAATACATCTCACCTTTCGTATTTCGTACTTCGCCCTTCGGTCCCTCGTCGCCATCGATGCCCACCGCTTACGTCATGTCCTTCGTCGCCATCGTTCTGTCCTTCGTCGTCCACGTCCACGCCACCGTATCCGCCACAGCTCCTATCCCGTTCCCTTGCGCGGCTTACCAGCCGGGTACTGAACATGGAGTGACCCACTCGCACCCTCGTTTCATGGCCGTTGGAGTGTTGAGTTTGATGTTTGTTGTGTCAGCTCACGCTCTCAGACGCGCCGTGAGCGCATCAACGTATATGCGGTGTCAGGGATTTTTGGCCATTTGAGCCTCAGAGTATGACGTTCACTCTGCCCATTTATTATTTCGCGCAATTTTTTTTCTGCGTGCAACTTTTCGTCTTTCGCGCGCCTATTTGACGTGCCGTCAAGAGGCCGCTGCCAAGCTGATATGCCAGTGACGGCCGATCATGCACGTGTTTAGATCTTCTCACCCGAGCCTACGCGTACATAAGGCCAAATATTGCGGTGGAACCGCGTATAGTCAATGGCCGCTCAGACAGTCGGCCCAATCTTTTGGGTGGACGAAACGGGGAGGTTGTAAATTGACCTGGCTCAAAGCCCTCAGTGATGGCATACTCACATTACCGAATTAGGGTTGCGATGCACGTGCGGCGTTGTGGTTCTCAAAAAGGAAGCATGTTAATGTAATTTTGGGAGGGCACCAAGCTAACTGGACTCGTTTCATGGCTAGGTTTGGGCAGCAATATTTGTCTGTGTAAGAATTCAACTTGCATGGTGAACCGGTAAATTAGAGTCCGGATCAACTCCGAGGCTGCCGAGATGCCGACGGGCCGTTTGGCCGTCAAGTATTTTTACACATCCTGTATCTTGCCTTGTACCACCCCCACCATATTCTGACATGTATTGTAGCCGATACCCTTCACTGGATGACGCCTGGAACATTTGAGGAAAAGCTGGTCACAACCGTCGCGCGAAAGCGAAAGTTGCGCGCGAGATTGCCGCGAGAACTCAAAAAACGGCGCGCGAAATGATAAAACATGCGCGCTATGACGTTCAGTTTGTACATTTATTATTTCGCGCGACATTTTGGTTTCGCGCGCATTTTCGTCATTTTGCGCGCCGTTTCTCACGTCTCTCGGCAATCTCGCGCGCAACTTTCGGTTTTCGCTCTAATGTTTTGAAGTTTTCGCGCATATTTTCAACACTGATTTTCAATTTTGACCAGCTTTTCCTCAAC